GTCTGACATACTTTGGGCATGTTGCAAGGAGGGACTGGTCCTTGGAGAGGGACATCATGTTTGGCAGAGTGGAGGGACAGTGAAGGAGAGGAAGACCTTTGATGAGATGGTATCAAGTCTGTGAGTGGAGTGGTGGGAATGAGTGTGTTTGAGATGGCTAGGTTGGCACAGGATAGAACCGTGTTTAGGGCTCTTGTACATTGGGTCGCTATGAGTCACAAGCAACTCAATGGCACATAACAACAACAACAACAACAACCATCCTCATCCTCTGCTCCCACCCTCTCTCCCATGAATCCTCATATATGTTCTACAATAATGATCTAATACAGTATTTGTCCTTATGGGACTGAGTTAGTTCACTTAAGGGGAGAAAATGTTTGCAAAGATAAGGTTGACAAAGAACTTGTATCTGGATTATATATAGAACTCTTATAACTCAAAATAAGAAGACAACCAATTATATTATTTGAATAGACATTCCCGTGGGGCAAAAAAAAAAGAATGGTTAATAAGCACACAAAAATACATTCATTATCACAAAAATAATGAAATATCAACTTACACACTAGGATGATTATAAAGAGCCCTGGTGGCACAGTGAGCTAAGTGTTGAGTTGCTAAGCCAAAGGTTGATGGTTCAAATATACTAGGCACTCCTCAAGAGAGCTATGAGTCAGCCTGCTCTCACAAAGACTTTTCACCTAGGAAATCTAGGGGGCAATTCTACTCTATCTGTAGAGTTGTTATGAGTTCACTCTGTGGGAGTGGGAGGGTGGCCACAACACAAAGGCCGATACAGACGGTAACGGGTGTCAGTGAGGAGATGGACCCACTAGCATCCTCACCCATTGTAGGCAGGTATATAAAGCGGTACCATCACCTAGAAAGACAGTTTAGCAGTATCTTTAAACGTTTAAACATAAATTTACCATGTGATCCGGCAATTTCACTCAGGTATTTTTACTCAAGAGAAATGAAAATCTATGTCCGCACAAAGGCTTGAACAACGAACGTGGATAGTAGCACTATTCAATAGTAGAGAAAACTCACCAGTGGATGCAGTGGCGTCACTAGGCTTGGCGTCACCCAGGGCAGTGACTCATTATGTCATTCCCCACTGGGCGGGGCCAGCTGGTGTAAACTACTCTCCACATTCCTTCACACAGCTGTCCTTGTCCCCATAGCCAGTGTGACACTCAGTGCTCAGACTCTTGTACACAGCTGAACGCCACACCTTCCCTCCCCACCCTTCACCCCGGCCAAGGTGGGGACCCTTCCCTCTGCTCTCTGGTGGGTGTCATGTCCTGTGCACCTGCATTCTGATGACCAGTGGTGACTCGTGTCTGTGCTGGGCAAAGAGTGACACAAAGTATAGTAACACTATTGACTTGGCATATCCTCTCCCTGTGGTGCCACCACCAGAGAGAGACCCTGGGGTCATTTTGATGTCACTTTGACAGTGTCAAGGAGTGAGGTCCATACCTCTTAACTCCCTAGTAAGGCCGCTGAATTGATGAATGGATAGACAAAAAACATGATATGCCAATAAAATGGAACACTTATCCATCAGTAGAAAAAAAATGAATGAAGTGTTGGTATATGTTACCACATGGATGAAGCTTGGAGACATTATGCTACGTGAAAGAAGCCAGATAAAAAAAAACCACGTGCCGTATGATTCCATTTGTATGAAGTCTCCAGAAAAGGCAAATCCATAGAGACAGAAAGTAGGTTAGCAGTTGCCTGGGGCTGGGGTGGGAATGAGGATTAACTGCTCCCAGGAAAGCAGGATCGCTCTGGGATGCTGGAAGTGTCCTAACTCTGAGTGATGGTGATGGCTGCCCAGCTCCAGAAATTTACTATTAAAAAAAAATCACTAATTAGAAATTAAATTTTAAAAAAGTCACCGAGTCACTCAGTGTGGGTGCATGTTATGGTATATAAATGATATCACAATAAAGTTGTTAAAATGCCAATTGTGACTAAATAGATTGTGTGCTGTACATCATGGTCTCTTAATTAGAGCTTGAACTAAGGTGAATCCATGCAGACCGAGGATTGTGGGCATGGCTCATTATCAGGGGATTTGCCCCAGCGAGGGTGCAGGTGGGTAATCAGGGTGGTTTCATGCCCAGGGCTCTGTGCCTCAGCTGCCAGGACTGGAATGCCCTCTCTTTACTGTGCACCAGCCTCCCCAGGCACTGCTGGTTCCCTGGTGGGAAGGGCTTAGGGGAGTCATCTTGTCTATCCTTCTGCTTGGAGGGAGGGCTGGTTTAATGACCTACAAAGAACGCCAGACAGATGAGAATCTATTCTTTCTTTGACTGCCTCCAGAGGGGCAATGAGAAACCTTCCTCTGTCCAGGCAGAGCCACTGACCCACCCACACCCACAGGGCCTTTGCACACAGACCTGCCTTCACCATTCTGCAAGATGCACAGGAACTGTGAGTGGGAGTGCGCACATGCACACATGCACCTGCGTGCACACATTGTTGTTGTTATGTGCCGTCGAGTCGCTTGCAACTCATAGCGACCCTATGTACAACAGCCCTAAACTCTGCTCTATCCTGTGCCAATTGCCCTGTCTCCTACACATCCACCCCAATTACCCCAGTCACTGAATCAGTCCACCTCATAGAGGGCCTTTCCCTCCTGCCCTGTCTCTCCACCCTCCCAAGCATGACATTCCTCTCCAAGGACCGGTCCCTCCTTACAACATGTCCAAAGTATGTTAGACGAAGCCTTAGAATCCTTGCCTCCAAGGAGCAGCCCGGTTTAACCCTCTCTAGGATGAATCTGTTTGTTTTCTTAGCAGTCCATGGTACATTCAACACTCTTCTCCAGCACCACAGCTCAAAGGCATCAATTCTTCTATCCTCCCTAAAGGAGCAGCCCGGTTTAACCCTCTCTAGGATGAATCTGTTTGTTTTCTTAGCAGTCCATGGTACATTCAACACTCTTCTCCAGCACCACAGCTCAAAGGCTTCAATTCTTCTATCCTCCCTAGTCATTGTCCAACTTTCTGATGCATAACAAGTGACTGCAAAGACCATGGCCTATATCAGACACACCTTAGTGTCCAGAGTGACACCATTGCTCTTCAGTACTTTGGAGAGGTCCCTAACAGCAGACTTTCCCATGGCAATACGTCTTTTAATTTCCTGGCTGTTGGTGCCAAGAGTGTTGACTGTGCACATGTACAGAGAGCAAATACAAACGCACACAGCCATACATGTCCATGCACACGAGCACACAGCACATGCACGTACACACATGCATCCACATGGTTGCCTCTGCCAGTGGGGGCACTCAAGTGCCCATCTGAGATGCCTTCAGCAACAGGAACTTGGGAGCAAGGGTCCCACCAAGTCGTCATAGGGAGTCTGCAATGCCAGGAGTCGTGTGTGACATCATGTCTGTGCTTCTACTCACTATAAACCTATACACCTGTCTCACAAGGTTGGAAGGCAATCTGCAGATGCTTACCCTTGGCCACCTTGCCATCTTCCTGCAGCAGCTGGACATCCAATGTGATGGCGGCTCCTTGGACCACATTCATCACCTCTGGGCCCAAAATGACAATCTTTGTGGCCTGTTCTGGAGGAGAGCAGAGGCAGTTTAATAGGTGGCAAGAACTACTGGGCGCTGGGAGGTGAGGGGACCAAGCACTGTGCTCAGTCCCTCATCAGAGTAGCTCCTGGGGGCCACCTCCCCAGGCTGCAGGCCTTTCTGAACAGTGAGGAGAGAATTTTAACAAGGACACAGCTACAGACACAAGCAGATGACTGTAATACGCTCTGGAGCAAGAAGGAACTCAGATTGTCATTCAAGCTCAGGTCATGTGACATGTTCACAGGGAAGGAGCCCTGGAGGGTCAGCTATAACTCTTTGAGGAGATTAATTTTAGAACTGAATGGATTATATTGAAAAGTTATTCCGAGGCCCCGTAAGGGCTGAAAGAGAGGCAGTTAGAGAGTGGAGGTTTCCTGCTGGCCATGCGGGTGGAATGTTCCAGCTTGTCTCCCTGCAGGCTGGGTGGGGCCCAGCATTCCCTGCAGCTGAGTCAGGGGGCAGCGGGAGGTGCCGCTCCAAGTTGACGGCAAGAGGGGCTCGTGTTCGTCATCGCAGCCTGGTGGTCAGGGCACCCCTGCTTTTGCAGGCTGACCTCGGTGCCTCCGTGTCCCAGCAATGGAAGTTGCTGTTTGCAGCGTCCTTGCTGTCCCCTCTCCTAGTCCCTGACTCTCCTGCCTCTGGGAGAGGACATGGAGGGTCCATAGACACCAAGGCCGGGAAGTGCTTGGGATCTGAGTGAATCTGAAGGGGTGGTCTGAGTACTCTAAGCATAGAGTGGTCACCTGGTCACAGGGACCCACTGGGACCCACAGTGGTGTTGGGGCTGAAGTCGAGCTGCAGACAGACCAGTGTGGAGGTGCTGCCGACTTCGGGGGTGTGCCGCTCGGAAAAGAAGCCAAAATGCCAGAACCTCTCTCCCCACAAGGCTCCACGCCAGCTGCCCTGCCCGGCCCAGCGAGGGTGATGGCTAAGCTGACCTTAGCAGATCTTCCTCCTAGTCCCCCAGAAAGGAGGCATGGGTCAGCTACACCGACACCCCCAGAGTCTACAGGCACACAGGACAACTGCCAGGTCTGCTGCCTGAGAGCTGCCAGGTGAATTGCATGAGGTTTGGATGAAGGATCAGGTGGGCTACGGGGCCTGGCAGGATGTTGTTCAGGCAGCACCAGGAACAAGAAGGGAGTGTGACAGCCCCTGCCCTACCCGTATCCCTCTGCTACACAGTGGCCCTGTTCCATAATGGCCCCTGCCTGCCTGATAGCCAAGCTCTTGTCATGCCCAGTCAAGGGTCACTCTGTCAGAGGTGCAGAGCTGTCCAGCTCCCAGCCGGCAGTTACAATGATGTCCAGGCGCTGGCAGTCGTGGGGTTCTGCCTCCAGCAGGCTGCTCAGACCATTTGAATCCGAGACCTGGCCCCGGGGCTTTGCATGTCTGGGAGCTTTTGAAAATGTTAGAACATGTGTTTTTTCTAGAAGAAGATGGAATTCCAGCTCTTGGTTGCAGTGCCCTATCCCACATGCTGAGAGATTTCCAGAATCTACAGGCTGTAAGAGAGGACATAGCTGGACCAAATGTGCCCCCATAAGCGACTTCCAGGGAGCAGGATAATAATGGGGCAGACACCTACCCACTGGGTGGCCGCTGATCCACATCCCATCGTACACAACCCCTGAGCAGTGGGCCATACGGCCCTGGCCACTGAACACATCACTGTGCCACTGTCCCTGTAGAGAGAGAACAGGCTGTCACATGGGGTGGGCCAAGAAGTCTTGTGGCTCAGGGCCCCAGCCCAGCATCAAAGCTCCATGGGGGCTGACAGGGCTTCCTATGGAGCCAGTATATGTAGAAAAAACCCCATTGTCTCTGGTCTGTCCGAACCTCCCTCTCTCAGAAGAAATCACACCTGATTAGGATGTGATTGCCTGGGCTTTGCCAAGCAGTCCCTTCTGTGAGTTAATGACGGCAAGAAGTATGTGAACAACGGCCCACAGCGCCCAGAACTGCAAACCCAGCACTTGGCCCAGGGCGTTCTTCTCAGGCACAAAACTCTGTGTGTTCTGGACCACAAAAGCGACCTGAACCTCCAAGCCCTGGTAACAGTGCTGGCACCGCAGTGCATGGCCTATTCTGCTGCCCTGCTCCTCTCTGATGAAAAGGCCCGGTGAAAAAAGTCAGCTTGAAGCAGCGCACGGGCACCACGGGAACAAAACACTGCTCCCCGGGCCCCGACGGGGCCTCCTTCACATTGAGCTGTGCGCTCTGAAATAACACGGGCAACAAAGGGCGGCAGGGGGATTTGAAATAGCAGGAAAATTATTTTCATGGGAAATTCAAGATGGTAAGGACATTTTGACAATGAATAACTTCTGTTAGAATAATAAGCCAAAGTTACACTTTGGTGCAATTCATCGCTACCCAGAAGGCTTGGGCCACTCCCTGCTGCCCTGTTGTCCTGTGTGGGTCCTTTGCTCAGCACTCATTGCCTCTCTGGGGTCCCTGAAGGACATGATGGGCTGGAGTTTATGCTAAAATGCAGCTCCCAGCCTGAGGGCCCCTGGACCACAAGGAAACCCTCTGAAGTGCATGCTGGTAGCACAGAAAGGGGGAACCCCGCAATAGTCACCCCAGCTTGGGGGAGGAATGCAGAAGTGGGGCAGAGTTCAGAGGGCCATGGGGATTCCTCTGTCCAAGGAGCAGCTGCACTCAGAACAGCTCCCTCGATGATCCAAGGGAAGTGAACAGTGACACAGTGTCTCCCAGGACAGAGGCTGCAGGCCCAGGAGAAGCTGGGGAGTGGCCTGTGTGACTGAGTGACCTCAGGGTGGCAGGAGCTGGAAGAGCCATCCAGTCTATGTGCTGAGTCCCCTCTGACTCCTCCTGCCCCTCATGGAACTGTGCTCCACAGGGTTTCCAGTGGCTAGTTTTTCAGGAGTTTGCCAGGACTTTCATCTGAGGCACATGCAAGTGGATTTGAACCACCAACCTTCCAGCTGAGTGCATTAACTGTGGGTACCTAAAGAGATGAGGACTCTGAAGGTGGGGGGTGGGGTGGGAAGAGTTTCTGGGGCTGTTTGGACACACAGTCAGGGAGCAAGGTCACAGTGAAGGATGCTAATGTGAGGGGACTCTGAAATCCAGACCAGGGCAGAGGGGCAGGGGCCCAGTTCACAGCTGCAGGCCTGACTGGGGCTCCTGTCTCCAGGTGAGGGGTAGTGAGACAACTACTATAACAAGAGGGGCTGGTGGTAGGGACACAACAACCATCCTGGAGAGGAACACAACACATTCTGATCGGATCAGAGCCCTTTATCTAAGAGGTTTGCACCCTCCCCAGGCCTGGCTCTCCCTTGGCACTGAGCTCGAGTCAGGCTGGGACCTCCCCTCGGCCACATCCTGGGCATTTCTGAGGGCTCAGGGCCATGTGTTGCATGCTGCTGTTCAGTCCGCCCTGACAATCTGTCACCAGGGCCCCAGGAAGGCCACCATCCCAACCAGAAAGGCCTTTTGCCATCTCTCTAAGTGCTCTCTAAGGTCCCTCGTTCACTGGGTAAGCCAGACAAAAGTGAAGGTCAGATCAAGGCTGCATCAAATCTTAGAGATGATCACCCATGGGGGCTTTGCTGCCCTGGGAGGGATGGGGACTTGCTGGACAACTTTGGGGCCACCCAGGGGTACCTGATTGGCATCTGTGGTGTATGGGCACCTGGGGAGTAGCATGTGGGTGCTGAGGACCTGTTACTGGGACAAAGAATTATGTGTGTGGGTGTGTGCATGTATGAGGTGTGTGCATATGTGCAGGCATGTGCGGGCATGTGTGCATGTGAGTATGTGTGTATGCAATGGGTAGATCTGGGCATGTTTAAGCACAAGTCTAAGTTGTTAAGCATGACTATAACCATGTGAGCAAGCAGATCGGGCCCAGCTCAGTCCTGGCCGAGGGTCCAAGCTGGCTGGAGGCGACTGACCAGTGGTAGTCAGGGACAGTCAGGATATTTCAGAGAACGCTGTGCCTAGAGGCCCAGTGGCTGATTTGGAGGGGCTGCAGTCAGAGCCTTCCTTCTCTGAGGCTGCCTCTCTGTCTTTGGTCCCATATGGACCCCATCTCAGCCCCCACGCCTGCAAATGAGGACCATGACTCAGCTGGCACTCTCCCTGCACACAGGACTGAAGCTCCTTGGAATCACTGTCTCAGTTCCTGTTAGCATGAGGCCAAACCACTCTTCACAGGGCAGGCCCCAGAGCACTGGCCACACTAGGACCCTGCCATTACTCCAGGAAGGTCATCTCCCTCCTAAACCAGGACAGGCAGAGGCCAAGAGACCCTCCGCCATCTCATGGTTTAGTGGGAGACAGTTATCAGGAGCCAGCTTGTGTGAGATGTTTTACCCCCAGAAGAGCTGAGGATGGGAGTTGCGCCTGCCTCCAGGTGCCCACATTTTCTCAAAAGGACATCAGAGATGGAAGTGAGGACTGAGCCAGGGGAGGCCGCTGATGTCTGAGCTTCCGGTCTGATTTGGAAGGACTGTTTGGGGTCCTGAGATGCGGCTGGACCAGGCAGCCTTCATTCAGGCTGGGTTCGCTCTGCAGGGCTACCCAGCCCAGGGAAGGACCACATGCACACAGGTCACATACACATACAGTATCTGCTGACCACTTGCATGGGACAGGTCACCATCGACATAGGCCTCTGCACAGGATTTAGCAGCCTGGAGGACAACTGGGGCGCCAGCACAGTCACTGTTTATGTCATAATTCCGGGCACAAGGAGTTGTGCCCTGAAAGCCTCAGGGGAAGTGATGCTCACAGCCTGTGACCGGCCTCCTCAACACAGGCACAGCCGAACAAGCCAAGCTGTTGACCCAGCTGTGCAGAACCAGTGTCACATGGGGACCCAGCTGCAAGCCCAGGGGTACCAAGGGCAGCTGGCAGGCACCAGCAAGGAGGAGCGAGGCCCACAGGAGGAGTGGACATGGTCAGGACAAGGAGTTCCTGTTCTTTAAAGGTGTCTCCATGATGGTGGCCCTGTGGACAGACAGGATTCAGGGTCACAGGGATGCTCTGTGACAGGGATGCCACGTGGCAGGTGCCTTCACATGAGCCTAAACTCCCTGCCTCTGGGAACCTGAACATGCCGGGGTGAGGGCATGTTGGCTACAGAGAGACCCCTCCTGAAGGGTCTCATAAACTCCATCAGTGTTCCTGGGCCATGACCTGAGGCAGCCAACCGCGGCTCTCCTCTCAGCTACAGCTGAGCCTGCGGTTCGTGGAGTGACATGCGGGTGCCGCACTGCCCTCTCTTTACAGGGCCCCAAAGGCCCCTTCTCCTGAAGGCATGGGTAAGGGGGCGCATCAGCTGGGGCAGGGCAGCCCTGATGCTGGCAGGGCCTGGCAACCCAGTGGTGATGGGCTTGAATAAATCACAAGGAACACGTGCTTGCCTGCTTTTCACTTTTCAGGAAGCAATTTCCAGCTAATTGATGCTATTTCTCTTCGGAGGGAGAAGTTATTCTGCTTTCATCAGCGCTGACTTGGGAGCTGTACCACCTCCTATCTCAGTTGCAGGTGTCCAGGAGGACACCTGGGCACTGCCCACTATGGCCCCCTGCTCCCCTGGGGGACACCAGGCAAGGGAACGCTTTGCCTTGTTGTTGTTGTTAGGTGCTGTCAAGCTGAGTACTACCCACAGGGACCCTATGAACAACAGATCTGAACCCTGCCCTGCCCTGTCCCATCTTCACAATCTCTGACACACTCAAGCTCATTGCTGCAGTCAATGTGTCAGTCCACCTGGCTGAGGGTCTTCCTCTTTCGCCATTCCTCCACCTTCCCAAGCATGATGTCCCTCTCCAATGAATAGCCTCTCCGAGCAATATGTCTGGAGTATGTGAGATGAAGTTTTATCATCTTTGCCTCCAAGAAGTGGCTGCACCTTCTCCAAGACATATGTTTGTTCTTTTGCCAGTCTGTGGGCTGTTCACTACTCTTCTCCAACACCACAGTTCAAAGGCATCAATTTGACTGTTATCCTTATTCATTGTCCTGCTCTCAGATGCACAGCAAGTGACTGAAAAAGACCATAGCCTGTACCAAGCATTCTTTATAATCTCAGGGAAATAATGCTCCAACCATTATCAACCTACGATCCCATGCAGGCAACTCTTTAGCTAAGTCAGTTTCATGTACCAGGAAGGGGGCGTGAGCAGCTATTGTCCCGGCCCCACGGGACCATGTGGCATGCATGGGAGTAGCAGGCCTGTGCCTGTCCAGGAGCAGCTTTGGCCTCAGGAGCACTGGTGGGTCCACATGTCTAGATGCATAGAATGCAGCTTCTTAATCTTTAATTTACATCCTCCTTGGCTAGAAGACCTCCCATTTCTCAGCGGGAGCTGTGGAGAGATGCTGGTGCCAATATGAGCACTGTCACTTGCGGTATCTGGACCCCAAACAGGCTATCAAGCCTGGTGCTTAGCAACCGTTTCTAGGGTCCAGGAAGATTTAAGCGGGGTGGGAGGATCAAACCATGAGAGTGAACGTCCCCTCCTGATGCTTCTCAATATCCTCCCCCAGGACGTACTCCGTGGAGCCACCAGTCCCCACTTTTCTGGAGGTGACCCCAGTCAGAGGACAGCTGCGCGAAGACTCCGTGCCCCTCTGGGCTGCTGTTCCTGCAGACACACAGGTGGGAGGGAGCCAGTGGAGTGCTGGCAGGTGAGGCAGCCCAGAA